ATGTCAGTACCTCTGCTTTCACGAGGAGTGAGGGAAGTCAAAGGAAGAGTGTTCTTCCTTTGACTTCCTGCTGAGTAGACAGTGTCAAAAGCCAAGCTAAGCTACTTTGACTTCAGCTACGCAAATTAACTTGACTTTAGCCCACAGTGTAGATGTACCTTAAGGTGCCATCGGACTGCTTGTTGTTTTTAAAGTTACAAACTAACATGGCTACTCCTCTGAGACTCCCTAGATTCAGTTTACTTGTGTGTGTGTTTTCCTTAGTTAGTTTAGTTAATAATTAGTTAGTGTAGTGTTGATAGTTTGCTGTTGGGAGTGGGGAAGTTCTCCTCTAACTTGATTGCGCTCTCCCTGGAGGACTCAGGGAATGTCAAAGTCCCAAGGGTTCAAACCCTGCAGGTCCTGCAACAACATGCTAGTGGGTGACCCTCCATGACTGTGACCGCACCCCTGGGGGTGGGTCCAGCATCCACGGACTAAAATAAACTCTCACTTCCCCTGCCAGCCATGCACTCAGCCCTGCCTCTGCACCCTGCTTTTCTTCCCTGTTCCCCTCCTCTCAAACTCCATACTGCTGCCACCAGAGTTGGAGTTAGAGCCACTAGGAAGAGCAGCAGGCTTGCTAGTTGCTGCTACCCACATTTGAATTTGTGGGCAGTGAGAAGGGAGGGGAGGTCTCCAACCATTGGTAGCACCTGCTCATCAAAATTCAAGGCAGAATCACCATTTTGGAGGCATTCATCCCCAGGCAAATTCAAAAGTGGTCAGTGGGGATCTGCACATTGCCCTTTCTAGAGGTTCCAGCAGACTTTAAACAATGGCAGCACCCTGGGCTGGGTATACATTGTGTGGCTGTGCAGTGCCAAACCTTCACAGGTCCTCCACATGCCTGAGCTGTTGTACCACCCCTTCATTTGCCACTAGCCTCTTCCCATTCAATTCTGGGGTTCCACTCTCACAAGTAACAGTCAGTCACCATAGCAAGGGGCCCTCTTACTGTTACAGGCAACTGCATGGTTCCCTATGTCTAACACCTTCCTTGGCCATCAACTCCAGGGCTACCGTGGGTCGGCTCCTCCTCACCGGCCTCCCCTTCTCCGCCGC